GTCTACAAAATTACTTGCCGTGATTGTGGAGACGAGTATTTTGGAGAAACGGCAAGACCACTCTACGTGAGGGTTAAGGAGCACATAGATGGTATGAGGCGATTAAAAGAGTCTACTGCCTTGGGGAGTCACCAAATTCAAAATCATAACGGAGGCGTTTTTGAGGTCACCGTGGAGGTCGTAGCACAGGAGTCGCAATTGTGCGCACGTAAAACCCTCGAGACATTTTGGATACAGGTCACCGGTCCCAAAATGAATCGTAGGGAAGAATGTCTCGCAATCATGCGTGAGCTGCGGCCTTATGTAAAGTTGGCCTTCCCGCAGAGACTCCAATGAGGATATACCCCAGCTGACGCGGTCGGTTGGTGCCATCACTCGTTGGGTGGTTTCGAAGGATCCGCAAAGCTACGGTGAGTGGTTCTCCTTTCAATCACTTGCGTGCCCTGGGGGTCTCGAGCTTTAGTGGAGTTGCGGAGACGTTTGATCGGATAGTCACAGATTGTTATGATCCTTTCAGGCTCTGAAAAAGGCGATTCCGCCTAAACGTCAGCCTTATAAAGCATACTTAAAAACCTCGTGAAGAGTTCAAGAAAACAGTAAACTCAATGATACAAAGAACATTTCCGCCCAATTTTTCAACACTGCTATCTTTCCTGCTTTGGAGTACGCCTCGAAGATTTGGGCTTCACGAAAGCAAAGTGAACAGATTATGCTGGAAAGTTCCCTCACAAGTGCAGAAGTGAATCCGAATAAATGTGAAACATCCAGGAACGAAAATCCTGAACACCGTTGCCTACACCAAGAAATCGAAAATCAAGTGGGCCATACACGTTATGCGATATTTTGATGACGTTGAGCCTTGCTGTGACTGGCTGAATCCCTCGACACGTCAAACGAAACCAGGACGGTCGCCAGCGTTATGTTCAGACTTCTTTACGAGAGATCTGAACTAAAGCTATGCCTCGTGCCTCTCAAGCGAGGACGATCTAGTAGACCACACTAGCTTGCAACAGGGGCGAATAGAGACATTACCTGCACCCACTGAAGGAAATTGATGATTAGCTGGAAGGCAGATGACAGGTGGTACTCCAACTAGTTATTCTCGGGAACTTGAACTTCATTCCCTCCTTTGTTCTGAAGAAATCGGGTCGCTTGCGCTCATACTGAATAAATTGATTTCAGCAATGATCATCAGTTAACGATTTCTCCCTTCTCTTTATTGGGTCTGTCGACACACCGATTTTTTCAAACGAGCAACCCGGTTGATCAACCGAAACCTTTAATGATAATCACTAATGTTGTCACTTGACGCTAACACCACTACAAGAAGCCGATATTTATGGCCCTTCTCCTATTCATGCTTATAAATCATTGGCTAATTAGCCAAGATTCTTAGGTTGCTGTCGGTTGGTTAGGCTTTGTTAAAATTGATACTGGAATAAAGGAAGCAAAAATCTTAGTCCAGTCAACACAACCTATTCGCAAGGAATGAGCCGCTCTTTATTTACATGTCATAGCATCATTTTCAAGGTCTTTATCACTGCGCTTATCAGTGGTTTTTGGTTAAGGTGTTTTATCAACTTATCTCATCGGAGGAAATATATGAAAATGTCGGGATAGATTGTGAATGCCCAAGGATTTGAACGCTAAAAAACCCTTTTATGATCTCTTATCCACCTTTGCCAGCTGTTATCAATTTCTGCAATCCTTTACCTGCGATCCAATCACACCGTATATCACCAAGTGAAGTAGCAGCACCCCACTATTATTCGAAGAGATGAAGTTATCCAGTGGCAAATACAAGTCCCAATCATTTGTTATGAGTTTTGGTCATCAACCATCCGTGCCTTATCCATATCACTCTTCAGGATGTCTCCCTTATAGTGTCAATCCGAAATGGGCAACCGATTCAGCGGCTCCTGTCTTTCTATAGCTCCTTATCTGCATCAATCTTTTGTTATCAATTCCTGCCGGGCGAGATCTTTATACCGTCTTATACCCACATCATATGCTTTAGCGCAGGGGTTCCACTGCTAACACGAAAGGCCTCAAGGCTCAGCGACCCTTACCTTCTGTAATCGCTCACGAGAACATATCATTCATTATCATTCCTTGTCGTTACCTTAGTGGGGTGTAAAGGGATTGTCACTATCTATCTCCAATCCCTTTACACGTCACCCATTGGAAAGATAGCTTTTCGCTTCTGACACGCAGGCACACTACAGTATTTTGTATTGGGTAGGGTCTTTCCTGTATTCGGCTCCAAGGCTTCTTACCTTTGCTATTTCTTGTACATTGGACTTGATAAATTGGCCTCAACTCACTGAGGTCAACATTTACGTAGGATTGACTGAGTTAGATGGGAGAAGAAATTCGTACTCGGCCATCTGGGTATTGCTTTCAATACAACTGCGCTTTCAACATTACTGGTTTGCCAAAGTTGTTAACGAACCTTATGATTCGATCCTCTGACATGTGGCGGCCTCACTTGAATAGTACTGGACTACATCCTTCCAATTTAAAGTGTTGAATTTTTTCCATCAGTTCCAGGTTTATGTATGTTCAGAAGTAAACTGATAAACCTGGGTAACTAGTCAAGATTGAAAATACTGACTAGGACTGTGACTGTGACTCCGCCACTGATACTGCTTGAGGATGAGCACTTCAAGCTGCTTGATCGTCTCAGTATAATACCATATCGCGTCTTTCTAGGGCCTAACCGTCATTCGAAATTGCAGTGCGAAATATAACCATCTTAAATGTTGGTAAAATAGGCAAATGCTATCCTTTGAGGATTCGAATTTATGACTAGAAAAAGTGAAAGAGCTGTTGGACAATCGAGGTCTTACTATCGAGAAGCACCAAAAAGTGTGTGCGATCACAGTTGTGGTTTACCCATGAAGAGTCCGAATCACAATCCACAGTTTTTTTGCTAATGGTAATTCTATTTTCTCAAAAAGGTAATTCTACTTAAAAAATCCCATTTTTTTTAATTGCTTTCTATTTCTTGCTTTTTAGAGAGGATGTATGAAACGCATAATCAAACTTTTCGAAGACTGCTACGTTCTCAAGCGTGGAATGACTTTTAATAGACCTACTATTTCGCAGCAGTAGTATTGTTCCTTTTCTAAGAACATCTTTCTGAGCTTGGCGTGGGTAAGGACGCGGTGAAGAAGAATGACTACTGAGTCTTGCTCTCCTGATAAGGAATTTCTTCAAAGCAGGGAATTGAATCCAATAATTTGCTATGGAACCATATTGACTGGTTATGTTGCGAATTGTTATCTCTGGTATGTCCCATTTCAGTGTGACTGGCGTGCAATCACGTTAATAGCATTGACACGCACGCAATGGGGTTGGAATTTTGCAATGAAAATACCAAAACAAGTTACCCGAGAAGTCATACTTTTTTGAGACATCCCAGATTTCTAGGCTAGATTCTGTGCGAATTCCATATATGCTAGGAAATGTTAGCAGTCTTGGTTAGCGGCAAAGATGGAAAACCCTTCGCCTCCCAATGCCAGCCAAATGTTCTTCTCTGTCCTCTTTTGATTGGATGCATTAACTTTGCAATTTTTCCGTAGCTTGTCCTTTTATCAAACACGTTCTGACCTTGAAGGCGAAGGATTCCTAACGCTTGAAAACTTGCCGCCACATTAAACGACCACATTGCCTACGAGCGTTGTAATTTTTCTAACACCGATAAGCTCTGAAATGTGAAAGAGCTAGTGAGGAGACATATCTGCAAAGTGATTTCTCCCCTTAAAAGATATGGTTGCTGATGCTGAGTGGGGTTCTTCTCTACTGTATCTTTTTCTTCTCATTTCAGTCCTGCTCGCTTGTGATTTCAGGAGATATGCTCTCCATGTAGCCTCTTTGTTGCAACTGGTATGCTAGAATGGACAACGCATGTCGAGTTCACATGGGTTCAACGAAAATTTCTTAAATTTAGAAATATCACTGGAAATTGGACGTTGATGGATAAAGTGCCGTGTGAAGAGTTCGTCGCGCTTTTCGCTCCCAGAAAAATATGATGTAGAGCAACTCTAACACTGCAAGAGCTTACTGTACATTTATATCATAAGCTTTTCGTCAAGGGCGCTATTGAGGTTCTTCCTCTCCTCCATCTCCATGTGAATTGTTAACAACCTTGACTTTTTTTTTGAAATAGCTCTTTTTCAAAAGAGCTATGAAACAATAAGCCGGACTTTTTCCTGAAATGTAACACTTTCTCTTACGAGGTGAAATCCAAATCGTTCTTTGGCATAGACATCGAACTATTAAACACTTAATATGGACTTATGGACTTGTTGTTCACTATAACCCCTTTGAAGTTTAAAGTTTTAATCACCCCTTTAACGACCGCGTATGAGTGCGTTTATGTTGGGGGAGGAGGCGTTGAAGTATGTTCCACTATTCGTGAGTTTTTTTGCTAAGATTACGCTCTCTTCAGTGAAACTCTGCTGGTTACACTTTAGCACACATAAAAGTGTGTAACTGGTAATGATACGATCGCCACCATCACTGCCTGGCCATGAGCGAGAAACAGGAATTAGCTCGTGCCACGGACCTTAAGCGAATAGTTTACTTCGGTATCGCTATCTCCACACTCGCCATCACTACAGCAATTATTGGTATTCCTCTGCTGTGCCTTTATCTGCAAAATGTTCACTCAAATGTAAATGACGAGTTAGCATATTGTCGTACAAGAACCCATGGAATCCGGGGCGAGTATACCAGAGTAAGTTGAAATGTAGCACTTCGTTTATCTTGTAACACTCAATGAGAATTTAATCAACAGAATAATTTCTTCAGACTTAAGGGGTAGTCGTCAATAGACAATTCCTGTTAGTGTGAGAAGGCAGGGTATTTCAACTCTTCTTTTAGCTTGCCACATCCTCATTATCTCCCGAAATAATTGTTTTTCTTGGATTTTAGAACTTTTCTGCGAAAGGAAGTACAGGAGAGCACTGTTACAATCGTCGTAAATTCGATGAGATATGAATAGCAAGTAGCCGAAACATGCCAAGACTGCTCTGCCTTTTCTGAATGGTTTGTATTGCGAATTCCAGATCCAAACTGATCGAGAACAACGGCAAAAGCGGCAGGTATCGTCATGCTGTTCCTGTGGCATTGGTGCAGTTGGCGCGATTGGGCCACCTGGCCCTGATGGCGAACCCGGCGCTGACGGCCATCCTGGGCATCCCGGCGCACCGGGTCCTGACGCTAAAGACGACAAGGCAGTCCCGACAGAAGCCGATTTCTGCTACGAATGTGAACCTTCGCCTCCTGGGCCTCCAGGTGTCACTGGGCCGATGGGTCCGATGGGACCCATTGGTCCCCCTGGAGAGGTGAAAACTAAACAGCATAATGCTTCCTTACTAAGTTTATGACTCATGTTTTTCTTTTCAGCCTGGTGCCAGTGGACTACAAGGAAATCGTGGACCTCCCGGACCTCAGGGACCACCCGGTAAACAAGGCGAGCAAGGCCCGGTAGGACCACCTGGTAATCCTGGCGCCGTTAGGACGCTCCCATCACCTATTGGCGTCAGCGGCCCTGAGGGACCCGAAGGTCCTCCAGGCCCTCCAGGTTCACCAGGTAACCGTGGTCATGACGCAATGAATGGTCTCATGGGACCTATGGGTGATAATGGTCCGGACGCTCCGAATGGCAAGGATGGCGATGATGGTGCACCTGGAACGCCTGGAAAGGACGGTCCGAAAGGATCGTGCGATCATTGCCCTGTCCCACGTACACCTCCAGGTTATTAACACAGTTCAATTGAGAAACACGGCTCTTCTGACGACTCTGGGCTCCCTCTGTGATTTGAAATTTCGCATGTTTGACGACAAAATGATAATAAATGTTTGATACGAAAAGCATATGCTCACTTCTTATTTAGCATATCTTTTATCATTGTTTTGTACCGAAGTTGTGTTGTGTAGAGCCCGCCAAAGCCGCATTTCATTTGCCTTAAGAAGGCTATAAAAGGAAATATTATAGAATGAATGAACCGAAGGGCGCCTTTTCGGCCTACGTAAAAAAAAAATACGATTTGGAGAACATTGGCTGAGACGCATACCATCATTCATCAAACAAAAAAGCATCCAGTTTCACGATTCCGTTTCAAATCAGTGGAAGTACAGAAGCGGTGGCTGAAAAATAAACAGGAAAGATGGCTGCTATCGATTTTGTCACGTTGGTGATAAAAACGTTTTACAGCAAACCGGCCATTCTCAAAGTGCTGAAATCACGGAAGAGAACCATGGAACCGTTTGAGTTGACGTTGACTGCGGGGCATAATAATATATGCTTAGCACATAGTAAATACTGATAGGCAGTAAAAAACTTCATTTATTTCTTGATAGTCGTTTACAACAACTGATCAACTTGTAGCAGTTGTGATTATCGAAAGGCATAGCTGTGCTCGGCTCTCGGCAAATCTTGGCACAACTTGTAGTTGTTCCAAATCTACATATTTGTGAGGCCTTAGGCAGGACTTGTGGTCAATGCTTCACAAACATATTCGGAACGAAGAGAGAGTATTCTTCATTGAAGTTCTGCTGGTTGATAATGTGGTGGTTCTAGGTGAGATGAAGGCAAAAGCCTCCCACAATGCTTGAGTGAGATCGTGCAATACTCAGGCTCTGCTCAGAAGTTGTCAAACCACTGAAAATCACATTTCGAGCACATGAATTTTAAAATTCTTAACAGAAGGCTTCCATGAGAACGATGAATAAAACCATGAATAGCGCAAGATTAACAGCGAGCCGATAACAGCGTATGAAATGGATGCAACTAGGCCACAGTTGGATAGGAGGATGTTAAGAAGTTTATTTGCTGATGCTATATTAGCTAATAACTTCAGCAGAAATGCTTCCTGGAACACGAGATGGTGTAGAGGCAAGTAGCGCACTATCACACACTAGTGGTCACTGGTTTGAATTGTATATCGATATATGGCTGAAGCAACCAAGCGTTCTGTTCCACCGTGGTCGGTTAGTTCGCACCAGGCGCATCTGGGAGGATAAATGCAGTGACTTACATCGGCTGGCTACCGCAAGTCATTGCATAGGCTACATGCGCATTTAAGAATCCACAACGATCTGAAGGGAGTCGAATGCGAAGTACCTCAAACGCAGTTGATAAACTTTTGAAGACCTTATCCTTTTATGCTGTTTTTATGATGTACCTT